CCTCTCAGTGTCTCAGAGGCCTCTCACCACAGAGGGAAGTTTGCACTGAGGAATTTTTCCTTCTGGTGAGATCCCAAGTCTGGACTCAGGATTTCATTGGCATGGGGAGGAATTTTCTCCCCTAGTATTGATCAGCACTTTTTTCTACAGCCTACAGTTTTAGAGAGTGTGTGTGTGTGTGTGTGTGTGTGTGTGTGTGTGTGTGTGTATGTGTGTGGCGGGGGGGGCCACAGACCCTGATGGGTTAAGAGACTTGCCTGGGGGTCACCAGGGCAGTATGTGAACCCAGGTGGTCCTGGCCCTGGGGCCAGTTCTGTTATCTGTTCTGCCTCTTTGTGGGTCTGTCTAAATGCACTCACATAGATATGTAGATATCTATATTTTTGTGTGTGTGTGTTTGTGTATATACATAATCGACAACAAAATCCTCTTCTTGTGCCCAGCCCAGGGAGATCTGATTGCCCCCAACTGTAGCTGTGGTTACATTTAAAATGCGAGTGCCAGTTGGAATGCCATCTGGGCGCGGTAAAAATTGTAGAATGCACCATTAATGCCCAGAGAGTGTCAAGCATGACCACTGGAGGGCCGGCCTGGAGTTCAGGAAGACCAAGGTTCAAATGTTACCTCAGGTGCATAATAGCAAGCCCACCTCTCAGTGCTTCTGGTTGCTCTCTAAGGGCACAAATTACAGATGAGGTGCAATCGGTATTACCGGAGGGAGTTTCCATATTGGGAATTCCCTAAATGGATGAAATCATAGGAGTGTTTCTCCTTCTCTCTAGTAATAATGATAATAATTAATGATAATGTTAAATGATATTTTATTATAAATAATAAATTAATAATGATGATAATACCAGAGACAACTTGGCATGGTTCTTGTTCACTTTTAATATTCAGCATTGTCTGGGTCACTTCTCCTTTTTCATAGCTAACATTTATGTATTGCTTTGAGGTTTGCACGTCACTTTGCAAACGTCCCATCGATCATCACGGCAACCCTGGGAGGTAGGTGCTATTATTATCCCCATTTTACCGATGAGAAACCTGAGACCCAAGGAGTAGGAATGATTTCCCCAAGGTCACCTAGGTAGCTAACGGCGGAGGTGGGATTCTAACCCAGCCCTGTCTTTTCCTGGTGCTTTAATGCACGGAGCGTCTGTCGGGAGGGCACCCTCCTTCTGACGGTACCAAGCACAACCGTCCCCCTCCCGCAGTGAGCCTGCTGCTGCGGCCGCTGAGCCTTTCTGGACACAGCTGGGTGGGAGCGCCTGAGACAGAAGGAGAGCCTGTCCCTGGGCAGCTGTGCTTGGAGCCCTCGTCTCCTGGTAGGACCTTCAAGGGTCCTCACTGTGGATTTGTGCAGAGATGTTCCTCTTACTGGAGGGAAGCCTTCTCTGGTCCCGCATTCAGCTGATGTTTTCAGTTCATGTGAGTTGATCTGCTAATTTCCCTCAGGCTCGCTCGGATAGCCAGCTGTCCAGAAGAGGGCTGGATGGCGCTGGTCCTTGGCTTGAAGGCGAGTGAAGAGAGAAGATGGCCAAGAAAGGGGTGGGAGGGATTGGGCCACAACAGGGGTACACCTGGTGGAGAAAGAGGGCCTCCAAAAGGGGAAAACAAAGACAGAAGACACGCGCCCTGTTTGACAACTTAGGGAAATAGCTAACTTTTGATTAATTCATAGTCTCTTCCTGTCACAACTCTTAGGGATCCTGATTGCCCCGGCTTTCTCCTTCTCAGACTTGAAGGTTCTTTGGGATGGTACTGCAGCTTTTTTGTCTGTGTATCTCTAGATAAACATCCCCTCGGCCCCCCAGACATCGTTGGAAGCAGGCGTAGACTCCCCGGGTAGCTGGTCACCCCTCCTCTCACCACGCTGGCACCAGACTTAGCGTAGACACCCAGTTGGGTGTAGCCTCAGCCCCCAGCAGCACAGACTACAGGCATGCCTGTGCTCCTGGCCTGGCTGTGACAGGAACCTCACGGCCTCAGGCCTCACTAGCCAGACTCACCACGGAGGTCCGGCTCCCAACTTCAAAGGCCAAGGGTCACTTTGAAGGCTCTGCTGCTGTGTTTTCAACTGGAACCAAATGTCCCAGGAGGGAGAAGAATAATAAACTCTGTCGGGGTGGGCGGGGGAAGGTGATGCCAAAATCTGAACACTGGTCATTGTTTTGCTTCAGCATTGACCATCCTGGAATCGCCAAGCTGGAAGTGACCCCCTCAGCCGTCCAGTCCGGCCTGTATCTGAGCAAGAATCCCCTCTACAGCTTACCCAGCGAGTATCAGCTGGCCTCTGCTCAGAGACTTTCAGAGATGGGGAGCTCATTATTTCCCAAAGCAGCCCCCAGCCACTTAGGAATTCTTTCATCCTTTGGAAGTCTTTCCTTGATATCGAGCTTAAACTCGCCCCATTTCTGAAGCCATAATGCCAGATCTGAGAGTCTCATTGTTTTCTTTACTTTGCTAAAGTTAACAATCTTATCAGAAATATCTTCCGTTAATGTTCAAAACATGAATGCTCTACTAATTGGGACGTTCTAGTAGGGTGGGAGGGCATGCCTTGGAAAGTTAATTGCTGCTTTTCATAGTGGAAACAGTGGTGTTATTAGCCAGTTTACTTGCCTAAATATATTTTTCAGGTGAAAATATATTTAGGCAAATAAATTGGCCATTTCTGTTTGTACAAAAATACAGAAACATCACGTAAATATGGCGGCAGTAAGAATTGAAAGGGGGAGAGGTATAGGTGCGTCTTTGTGATGGGACCTTCAGCATAATAGATTTTTTCACCCAGTATTGATTGAGGGAATGAAAGAGAGGTGACCTTCAGGTTTTGTTGGTGTCTGGGGAAATTGTGGTGTCCTAAATGGCCCAGACATATACACTTATGAAAGTACTGGTTGGGTTCTCGTGACCCTGGGTTATTATAAAAACCTTTGCCAGAGTGTAGTGAGGGGACCAACAGGAGAGCTGATGGGATGGCCAGCTGGGAATGGCCTTCGGAATCTTTCAGTCCAAGCGTATCATTTTACAGCTGAGGAAACCGAAGGCCAGAGAGATTTTTCCAAGGTCACACGGCTAGCCGATGGCGTGGCCAGGAACGATTTGAAACTAGAGGGCCTTTTAGACAAGGTTGATGAGTTTGCTCGTTTTTTAGTGGGCTATAGGAAATTATGGAAAGAAGATTAGATCTAGAGTCAAAGGACCTGGGTTCAGATTCTGCCTCTTACCTGTACTGCCTGGATATCTATCTATACCACCTGTACCACTCTTAGGCAGGTGATTTCACCTCTCTGGGCCCGTGAGTTTTCTCAGCCATCTCAGAGATTGGTCTGAATGGCCTTGGAGGTCCCTTTCAGCTCTTGCGCGTTGTAGCAGGGGACAGTGGTATGATATATTAGAAAGAGAGCCAAACTTTGAGCCAGAAGACACGAATTTGAATCCCAGCTCTGATCCTCCCCAGTCATGTGACTGTGGACAAGTCACTAAAGTTCTTTGAACCTCAGTATCCTCATCTGTAAAATGGGGATGTTAAAACTTTCATTACCTACCTCACAGGATTGTTGTGAAGAAACTGCTTTGTCCACATGCAAGGTGAAGGGGGTCATAGAGCAGGACAGGATGATAAAGCCGTCCGGCCCAGCCATTCGAGCTTTTAGTTCATTATTATTTTTTCAGTTTACAAGAATTAAAAAAAATTAATCTGTTCCTTACCCATACACACAGCCCTACAAATTAAGAAGAAGCAAAAAAAAGACCTGGAAAAATAAAGCCCGCAGTATATAATCCAGCAAAGCAGAATCTCACGTTGGCCATGCCGGAGAATGTGGGTCTCTTTCTGCATTTCTGGTCTGTCGGCTCTCAGTCAGGAGGGGAGTGGCCCGCGCAGGTGCCGTTCTCGTGGACACACGCGGCTCACAATTCTGAAGCAAAGTCGATGTTGTTTTCATTGTAGAAATTGTTCTCCTGGTTGCGTTGGGTTCCCAGAGGTCTTCCTGATTTCCTCTGAAATCATTTCATCATTCCTTACAACACAATGACATCCCGTTCTGTTCCTAGGCCACACTTTGTTTAGCCATCTCTCAATAGGAGGATGCCCACGCCCTTACTTTGCAGTGGCTGGCTGCCATGAAAAGAGCTGCTGTAAACATTTCTGTACAGATAGAGCCTTTTCCTCTTTGATTTCTTTGGGGCATAGGCCTGATAGAGTGGCCTGCAGCAAGGTGGGGCAGTGGATAGATCACTGGGCCTGGAGTCCAGAAGACCTGAGTTTAAATCCAACCTTAGGTACTTACCAGATGGGTGACCCTGAGCAAGTCTGTTAGCTTCTGTTTGCCTCACTTTCCTCATCTGTAAAATGGGGCTAATAATAGCACCTATCTCCTAGAGTTGTTGAGGATCAAATGAGATAATATTTGGAAAGTGCTTGGCATAGTGTCTGGCACGTAGTAAGCGGTACATAAATGTTAGTGATAATAATATAGTATATATTAATTATGATATGTTATCTTTAATATAACATTTTAATTTATAGGATTATATATAAATATATATATAACAATATATTTTATGATTATATGTAAAATGTATATATTATACATGATATAATTAGTACATCTACAATAATTATAACAATTATAATTAATATAATAAATCAGCAATAATGATGATGATGATTATATCTGGGTCAAAGGGCATAGACAAAGGGAATAGTTCCAAATTATTCTCTAGAATCAGCCACTTCATTTTTTCAGATGGGGAAACTGAGGCCGAGACTTACAGTCACAAAGGTAGCGCATGGCAGAGCTGGGATTTGAACCCAAATCTTGTGCTTTTTCCACTGCGCCTGGAGAAAAGGTGAGCTCTTGTCACTGGCCAGAACAAGGAAGAGGATTGGGGCGGGGGAAGGGAATCCAGTTTGGGGGAGAGAAGAAAGTTTATTGGAGGGGATGGCGGAGTGGCTGTGGAGACGATGTCATTTTGTTTTCGTTCCCCAGGTGTGACGAAGACGCCGTGTCTGTTCATGAAGACCAGCCTGACCGGGCCAGTCTCAGGTATGGACGCAGAGACGTCGCGGCCTCCTAGGTCCTCGGCGCACGGAGTGGCTGGGGTCTTCTTTCTTTTCCCTTCTATTTAATTTATCTCAGTGCTCCCATACAAGGCTTCAAGGACAAAGGTGGTTCTGCATCCTGGAGCCATCGGCTCATGTTTGGTTTTTCAGTGTAGGTCCAGGAAGTGGCCCTCACCGGTGTGGTGGCAAGAAGTGTACCCCAGGCACCTCAGTGCCCCTCACTTGGAATCTAGGGTGAAGGGAGATTTACAAGCCTCACCCAGCCCACCTCCGCCCACCCTCCAGCAGAGTTTCTCTTGGCAGGAATCCAAATAGCACGCTATCCAAATTCCAAAGAAATACTAAAAAAAAAAGGACTTTTATGTGCTAACGAGGTTATATAGAAAAATCTCCAGCTAATGGGACCTTATATGTCAACCTTCCAAATGGGTGTAACTCATACACGTATCATACTGGAAGAATTTGCAGCATTTACCAATTTCCAAGGTGTAAATGCTTGCTCCATAATTTAATTTAATTTTAATTTAAAAATTACTAATAGATTCTTAAGAGCTGATTGAAGCTGGTTCTATCACTCTTCTGTATGTAACTACATGGATACATATTGTCTTTCCTAGCTAGATTATCAGTTTTTCGGGGCCTGTTTCACTCTTTATTGACAGGCTCTACCATAGAATCTGACTCATAGTAGGTACTTTATAAATGTTGAATGACTGATGGCCCTTTACCCCGTATGTTGCCCTGGGACAGAGGCCTTTTTGCCCCACCCCAGTTACAGCTCTGAGCCCTGGTGGTCAGTTGAAATCATCATTGAATAATGGAAAGCCTGAGACAAATCTTGTTGCTCACCCACGCCTGAATCATGGCACGTCCTAAAATTAGCTGCTCAAGTCATCTTCGCAGATTGCCAATTGCCCTCGGCTGGTCATGCTTTATTCCAGTAAGTTGGGATGAATGTGCACTGAGTTAATGTGGTCTGTATACCTCTTGTGGGGAGAAGGAGCCAGTCTGGGTTCAGAACTTGTTTCTTTTGGCCTTTTATTGGGTTTATTTATAAGAGGCAGGAGAGTAAACAAATCTAGAAATGATAGACCAAGCTGAAACCTGATACATAAATATATAACACATGAAATAATGTTATATTATGACATGGTAAATAAAATGTAATATGATGTAATAGAACACAATATAATGTGATAAAATACATTAACAATATATAATATATATAATATGATACAATAAACATAATATTGCATAACATGATCTGTCATACTATAATAATATATCATATTCATATATAGTTGATATAGTATAATATGATATATACATCATATAATACTATATAATATGATATAATATAATACAATCTAACACAATACAATATGGTATAATGTAATATAATCATATAGTATGCCAGCATAACATAATGTAATAATATAAGGGTAGAGACTGGACCTATGACTTTAGAGGTATAGAAACTTTGCAGATAAAAGAGTGCCCTCCATCAGTGCAGGCTAGCATCTCCTCTGCCATTGACTCACTCAGAGAGTTTCCTAGAGCTCTTATAGGTTAAGTCCAAGATCACACGGTCAGGATATGTCAGAGGTGGGACGAGAACTCATGTTCCTGGTTCTGAAGTCAGTGCTCTATCCATAATGCCCTACTGCTTCAATAGAATAACATAATACAATATGATATGATACAGCAATTTAATGCGATATATAAAAATGAAATGACCCAGTTCAGCATCTTTTGAATGTTAAAACCCTCCAGCTTCTCTTTCTAGATATAGTTTAAGTTCCTTGACTTTGCCTATGATCTTTTGTAGACCTGGAGCTCCCTCCCCTAACATCCATCTCCCTTATGGCTGTTTTCTCCCCCTATGTCCACGGGGTTTTTCCTGCATGCCCCCCCCTTTTTTTCCCCTAGGCAAGGCAATTGGGGTTAAGTGACTTGCCCAGGGTCACATAGTTAGTAAGTGTCAAGTGTCTGGTCTGAGACCAGATTTGAACTCAGGTCCTCCTGACTCCAGGGCTGGTGCTCTATCCACTGTGCCACCTAGCTGTCCCTCCTGCATGCCATCTTGACTAAACTTGCTTGTCCATCTTATTATTCCAAGCTCACTCTCAGTGGGTGAGGATGGCGTGGTAGGTTTGTGGAAGGTCTGCAGATCCGTTGTCTGTCTAGTTTTCCCTCTTACCTCTGACAGAGGCCAAAATGAGGAAAGAGAAAACAGGTCAATACCATCGACCCTTGCTAAGGATGCCTGAGGGGCTCTACTCTCCCCAGCAGTGAAATGGGACACATTCTCTGCCTTTCTACCAGCCTTTTCTGACCTTCTCTGGTTTTTTTTTTTTCATATTAAACATATTTTTACATTAGTGGTGTTGTAAGTAGAAATTAAAACCAATAGGAGGAACTATCAGAAAGAGGAAACAAAACTCAACAGAAGAGAAAAAAATTAACAATTCAGCTTCCATAGTTCTTTCTTTGGGTGTGGATAGCATTTTCCATCACAAGGCCTCTGGAGATGTCTTAAATCCTTATATTGCCAGGAAGGGTTAAGTTTATCAGTATTAGTCATCTCACAACGTAGCTGTTATTGTGTACAACGTTCTCCTGGTTCTTCTCACTTCACTCAGCATCAGTCCATATAAGGCTTTCCAGGTTTTTCTGAAGTCTGCCTGTTCATCATTTCTTATAGCACAATAGTATTCCATCACATTCATATACCACAACTTGCTCAGCCATTCCCCAATTGATGGGCATCCTCTCAATTTCCAATTCTTTGCCACCACAAAAAAGAGCTGCTATGAATATTTTTGTACGTGTAGGTCCTTTTCCCATTTGTGTGATCTCTTTGGGATACAGCCCTAGAAGTGTTATTGCTGGGTCAAAGGGCATGCACATTTTTATAGCCCTTTGGGCATAGTTCCAAATTGCTTTCCAAAATGGTTGGATCTTTTCACAACTCCACCAACAGTGTATTAGTGTTCCAATTTTCCCACATCTTCTCCAACATTTGTCATTTTCCTGTTTTGTCATGTTGGCCATTCTGATAGGTGTGATGTGGTACCTCAGAGTTGTTTTGATTTGCATTTTTCTAATCAGTAGTGATTTAGAGCATTTTTTCATATGGCTATAGATGGCTTTTATTTCTTCATCTGAGAACTGTCTGTTCATATTGTTTGATCACTTATCAATTGGGGAATGGCTTGTATTCTTATAAATTTGACTTAATTCTCTATATATTTTAGAAATGAGGCCCTTATCAGAGAGACTGGTTGTAAAAATTCTTTCCCAATTTTCTACCTCCCTTCTAATCTTAGTTGCATTGGCTTTGTTTGTGCAAAAACTTTTCAATTTAATGTAATCAAAATTATCTATTTTGCCTTTCATAATGTTCTCTGTCTCCTCTTTGGTCTGACCTTCTCTGTTGTGGAGGTGAGAGAGAGAATGTTTGTAAAATATTTGGAGTTCTTTGGAGCAGGCCTTGGGTTAAACAACAAAGAGCTGGCGTGGTGCTTTTTAGGATTGATGTTGTCAAAGGATGCTGAGTGGATCTGCAGAGCACTGAGTGGGGTGGGCTTCTTTCCCCTCTCTCTTTTTTGAAGAGTGCTAGCGTGAGACCCAGCCAGAGGGGACTCAGAGAGGTGACTTTTCTCTCCCCTTTGCCCAATGAAATGAGAAAATATAGAAGCATATCAGTTACTCTTAATTTAAATAAATAAAGTGAAATGTTTTTAGTTCAGATTTTAGATTTTGCTTCCACAGCCTATTAGTAATGGAGTCTTTAAATACATTTAAAAAAAAAGTCTCTGACACTAGTTGCTATTTTTCCCTCCTCCCCCTCAAATTCTCACCCACTTTCAAGGACATTGATTTTTTTTTCTTCTACTTATGAATACTGACGAATTGGCGGTCTGTTAGATTTGCCAGAAGCTCTTCATTTGGGGTCAGGGCATCTTGGTTGGAATTCTGGCTCTGATACATTATGAGGGGGTAGCTTTGCCAGATTCATCAGTCAACACCAGAATGACCCAAGGCAGGGTTCTTACCCTTTTCTTGTGTCTAGGATGCCCTGGAGAGTGTGGTGAAGCCTATGGGCCCCTTCTCAGAATATTTTTTCCAAGTTAAAAGTCCTTGGCTTAAGGAAAGAAGGTCCAGACAACAGGTCGATATTTCCTTTAATTGTAACCTCAAACAAGTGACTTAACTGCCCTGAATTTCACTTTTCCCATCAATGAAGTGGCCTGGCTAAGCAAAGTCTGAGCCCGCTTCACAGGATTGCTCTGAGTTTAAAATGAGCTGATAGAGGTAAAAGGAGTTTGCAGAGTTATAAAAGAAATAGGGTGGATAAGAGATAGCAGGGGCATCTTTGGGAGGTGGGGAGACCTGGGCTAGTGCTCTGCCTTGAACACCTGCCTACTGTGGGACCGTGGGCGAGTGTCTGATTACTCCTCGACATGAAAGTTCAACCGCTGGTTTGTAGGGGTGGAGGGAGTTTCCTTCTTGGGAATATCCCAGACTGCTAAGATCATGGGTTTAGACCAAAAATTAAAACAAGGAAAGAGGTATTCATCAACAGATTTGGGGCGTTCTTATTGTTACCATCAGTGCGCAGCTGTAATTCTCTGTCCAGTCCACTCTATCGTTACTTCATTCATTTTCCTAATTGTGTTTCCCATTTTAGAGATGAAAATAATAAAGAAAACTACCCTGACAACATCGCCCTCCTAGAAGAGAGTCAGCAGCACGCAGAGCAGGCCCTGTTCCATGGAGCGTTGCGATACACCATGGGCAATTTCAAGTCCAGAAAACCCAAATCCGTCCTCAAAGGGGAGGCCGGGAAGGGCCACGGAGATAACCAGGTAGGGGACGAAGCCGTGGGTCTTGTCTCCCCAAGAACGGCGTGTTTCTGTCTGCTGTGGTGCCTTCAGCCCAAGGGGGCAGGCTTGCTTTTCTGTAAGTGCCCTAATGGTCAGCAGGGAAGAGGAAAATGTCTCAGAAGCCGAGGGAGGAGGGAGCTTGCTTGTTCTCCCTTCCCCTCTGGTTACCTCGGCGCCCAGCCTTGATTCTTACTCGCTGAACCAACAGCCAGTCCATCTCGGACTTGTTGTTTTGACCACCAGGATATCCTATTGTCTCCCCTCATGGCCACCCGCTTAGTTCAGGCCCCCATCACTTCTCCCTGAACTGTATGAATTAATTTTCTAATTGGACTCCCTGCCTCAAGTCTCCTCCCACTCCAATCCATCCTTCACCCAGATGCCAAAGTGATTTTTCTAAAGAATAGACCCCCCACTGCCACCCCACTGGCCACCAGAAGGCTCACAACTCCCTCTGGGGTCAGATATAAAATCCTCTTTGCCATTCCCTTCTGCCTTTCTGGTCTTCTTAGGCCTTATTGACATCACGCACTTTATGATCTAACCATATTGGCTTCCTCAGTGTCACATAACGCTTTTCTCTCATCTCTAAGCCGCATTCCTGGAATGTTTTTCCTTTGTATTGCCAACATTCAGTGTTGGCATGTAGTAAGTGTCTGGTATTCGTAAGTGCTTAATAAATGCTTGCTGATCCACCGGTCGGAGTACTGGGCAATCGATGCACATTTATACCAAGTTTCACTGCCGTTTTTTCCCAACGGTGACCCTGAGTAGCTCATCCCAGTGTTTGAGCCACGGTCCTGATTCCCAGGGCAGCTCCGTGGCGGCCGCTGTGCAGCGTGGGCTTGTCCCTCCCTCCTTCCACAACCTCGTGCTTTGTGCCATTTGTGTTTGGTGTGGCTTGTGTTCCTGGGAGATTGTTTTCTGGACCGTGTCCTTGGTTCTCGGGCTTCTTCTTCCATCTTCTTCCATTTCCTGGGGAAAGGGGAAGCGTGGGAAAAACAAATGGACGTGATGACTACCTAGCATTGGCAGCCAGGCCCCTCAGGGCCCTTCCTTCTTGAGGAAGTGAGGACAGAAGCGGAACCCTGGCGTGCCAGATACAGACTTTGTGATGGCGGGTTGGCCGCAGAGGCTGTGTTTGCTTTAAGCACCGTTGACCTGAGGGGGAAGGGGGACAGCTGAGTCGGAGGAGGTCTGGTGGCCCCCGTGCCTGGGAAAGCCGTGGTTGGGGAATCAGGCTGTTAGACGGTCGGTCAGCCAGCCTCTGGGCACTCTGGGCATTTGGGCTCGTCGATCTGGTCCTGCCTTCTGGCTTTGAACCCCTGATTTGCCAGCTAGCTCCCAGGTAGGTCATCCGAGCCCTTTACATCTCTACCCTTCTCCAACAGCGAAGGACTGAGGGTGCCAGGGGTGGATTTCATGTAGGTTACGGTGTCCTCTGAGAGGTAGAGAGCTGGCCGACAGGTGAGTGAGACGTTGGATCAAATCCTGACTCTGATACCTGCTGGCCTGATGACTCCGTATGACACTTACCAAGACTTGAGGTTGTCAGGAGGGTGCTCTGTGCATTGCTGGCAAGCATTCCTTCACCTGGGAGTGCCCTCTCCCAGGGAAATCATGGGTCCAGCTTCTAACTCTCTCCTCCAGTACCGTCTCCATGTGGGCATTTCTGTGAGACTCAGAGTCTTTATAGCAGCAGGTTTAATTCAGACATGGGACCCACTGCTTCTTGCTCAGCATCCCAGTGGAGTGAGCCAGGAGGGGTCGGGCCTGGGATTCCTAAGCTCTCGTTTCTTAGTGCTGCAGCCTCCAGCTGAGGCACCTGAGGCCACCTGACCTATCACTTGCTTCTTGAAAGTCCAAGCTTGAATGACACTGATATCATTGCTGACATTGTTTCAACATCCTTTGAAATGTAAAAGTCTCAGAGTAAAACCATGCAGCTGGGGGAGTTTGTGCTTTCTGCAGGCCCCTCCGGAAGGCAGAACCCACTGCTGCAGGGTCGGCTTGAGCCAAGCATCATGCTATTCAGTAAAGATTCTGCTGTCTTGGAAGGGGAGGCGGGATGAGCTGAGGCCCCAGGGCCCATTTTGATTCTGTGGGGTCAACGCTTTTAATCTTTTATTAAAATCTTATTGCGCATTGCTGTAATAATCCAAACTTGCTTGGTTACTATTTACATTTAAATTAATTAATTTCAATGGCTGATGGAACATGATGGTTTTCACTCATTTCCTCTAAGTCAGCAGTGGGATTCTTTGTTAGCCGGTTCACTCTTAGTCGCTTTTCCTCTTATGTGGCCATGAGGTGCCATCCATTCTCCTGCCCCTGTTTTTTCACTTGGCATCATTGCATAAAGCTCTTTCCTCATGAGCTGGTCTTCCTCTTGTGGGTTGTCTTAATGGCATTGCTGTGGCCCATTACATTAATGGGCTGCAGGTTATTTAACCATCCCCTTATTGGTGAACAGTTAGGTAATTTCCAGGCTTGGGCTTTCTTTTCTTTTCTTCCTTTCTTTTTTTTTTTTAAAATTACATATCATTGAACATTTTTGAACAGAGAACTCTTTGTTTTTTAAAATATTTAAAGATATATTCTCCCCACAGTGGAATTATTGGATCAGAGGGTATAATTATCTTTATAACTGTCTTGCTTGCAAATATTTGTATTTTTAGAGCTCTCTCTCTCTCTCTCTGTCTTTCCTACTCTCTGCTGTCTCTCAGTTCTCTCTCTCTCTCTCTCTCTCTCCCCTACTCTCTGCTGTCTCTCAGTCTCTTTCTCTGTTTTTCTGTCAGTCACTTTCTGTCTGGCATTCTGTTACTTTTTTCTGTCTCTGTCTTTCACTTTCTGCTCTCTCTCTCTTTCTCTCTGTCTCTGTCTCTGTCTCTCTCAGTGCTGTACTAGATGGCTTTTTCTTTCTTCTTGTACTGATTTTCGATGGTCCCACAGTCAGGGGTCCCACAGTGGGGCACGTGTCTGCTCTCCAAGGCTGGTCTTATGACTAGGACATTGGCAGTCTCTTGTTGTTTGACCCCTGCTCCTCACAAAACCCTCCTGTTAAGACGCTGAGCAGTCAAGGTCTTTGTGGGTGGAGAAGGTATCCCTCGGGGGACATCACCCATTCCGTTAAAGGGAAGATTCGCGGAGCCACGCTGCTTCTCGGCCAGCCTCCTTCCTGGGGCTGGGGCTTCATTTTGAAGCAGCGATAGTTGGGATGCCCAGCTCTCACCCCCAGGCCCCGAGCTCCAGGAGGTCACAGTCTTCTCTTTTCTGAGGGCTGCCTCAGGCTGATTGGAAAAGCCCATGTTCTTCTGGGGGCTCCTCTGATCCCCTGGCCAGGGAACCCCCAGTCCTGGCTCTGCAGGAGGGCGATTTCCGGGTTATTGTACTGCGGGAGCAGCTGTGGCAAGAGGTTAAAAGGTCCAGCACGCCCGTGTTTCTCTTGCACTGCAAATAATACTCCCAAAGACCTTCCGGCAAAAGCACTTTGCGGATGGATTTCCTGGGGTTCCGATTTCAGAGAATTCAGATTTCCTAACTTCCCTGGCTGTAGTTGGCCCGGTATTAAGAGCAGGTTGCTGCTATTTTTAGGAGTCGGTAATCCCATCACATATTAGTTTTTTCCAAATGGGAATTAGAATCACAATTGGAAATGGAATCAGCAGCGGCTGTTCCCTTTGCCCTCCTGACCAGCCCACAGTTACTCAGCCTCTCTGTCCCTTCCTGACTCTGCTGCACGCAGATTTATGAGATCTGCTCATGAGAGCCCCAGAGGTCCGAATCTCAGAACCGGACGGAACCTTGAAGGTGATCTGGTCTGGGTCTTCTTGGGCCTTTTGGTGGTACGGGCCCTTCTGGCAAGTTGGTGAAGCTCAGTGATACTTTTAAATGGATAAAATAGAATGCACAGAGTTACAGTATATCACAACTCAATGGTCAAAACAAAAACGGAGCCTAGGTGTTCAAGAAAAAATATTAATAAAATATTGTACTCTGAAGTTGAGACAGTCAGTAAGCATTTATTAAGAGCCTACTATGTGCCAGGCTCTTAACCTGCCTAGGCCTCAGTTTCCTCTCTTATAAGTGAATGGATGGATTCCCAAGGTATCTGAGGTCCCACCCAGGTGTAGACCCAGGGCGCTGTGAATGCTCTTTGCCTCTCCTAGATTCTGGTGGATAGTGTGCTGACAGCAGAGGGAGGGCCAGCCCTGTTTCCCACCCTTAGGGGATGTTGGTGAGTGGTGGAGATTGCCCCAGGGCACGGATCCATTCCCCTCCTGCTCTCTTATGTTGGCCACGCACCCTTTTGGATCTGGAGTTTAATAGAACAACTGTTTTTGAACTAGTAAGGAGAGATCTCTTGTGAGGCGAACAAAGAGCGTCTATCTCTGAATGAGCAGAAGGACAGCTTGGGATAGAGTGGTCCGGTGTGGCGGGAGTGTGGCATTCACGAAGAGGAAGAGCAGGGAAAGCTTCCAAACCAGTAGAACCATCCCAGTGTGGAATGGGCTGCTTCCCCTCCGGGAAAGTCTTCAAGCAGAGGCTAAGTGGCCCTTTCTTAGGGACTTTGTAAGCGGTGGGAGGGAGTTCTTGTTCACCTACGGATGGCATGGAGGAGTTAGGAAAACCTGAGTTCGAATTCTGCTATGTGTCTAGTTCCTGGGCAAGTCACTTATCATCTCTGAGACTCAGTTTCCTCATCTTTAAAATAGGGATAACAGTAACACCTACTTCAGCGGATTGTTATAGGGAATAGAGTTAACTTATGTAAAGCCCTTTGCCAGCCTTAAAATGCTATGTAAAGGCTAGGTATTATGATTATTCTTGTATTATTCTAATGTGGATTGGATTAGATAGCATTTCCAATTCAATTCAGTTGGCTTCAATTGGGTTCAGTTATATTCAATTATTCAGCATCACCCAGGATGCAAAGGCAAAAACTAAAACCACCCTCTGAAGGATTTCTGTTGGGGGATGGA